TCAGAATCCGTATAAGTGATCCAATTAGAAGACTCGTACTATATTAGAAATAATCACTAAGAGAATATTCGAGAACTCCTAGTGTTAGTAATCCTTGAGTACAAAATATTAAAAATTGACCCAAACAAAGCATTCATGATATTCATACTCCAACTAGCATGGGATTGAGGCGTAGTAGTAGTCGTCTTATTATTTGTTTCCTTGGCTAGAAAAAGGTTTTTGGCAGTTAGTTTGAGCAGGTAAAATTTTGATAAACAATGAAAATCAAGAAACGAAGAAGAGCAATTTTCACCGACTGGACAGAGAAGTACAATTTTGGAGGACGAAGTACCTGATGCATTTAAACTCATACATTCATTCTTTTTCTATGCTTGAATAGCTTTTCTAACTACGTTCTAAATCTTACTTTGTACTGAAATGATACAGAGACATGCATGCTTGAGCTCAATCCTGATCACGCTCAAATTAGTAGTGCATTGGCTGACCATATGAAGGTTGCTTTTGGACCATCATGGAAAGAGAGTCTATGTGAAAAGGAGATAGATGAGAAAATTGATCCAGGGCAACCTGCACTTCTGGTTATTAGCTTATCTGCCTTGCGTTCGTTGGACCTTCTCAGGTTGGTGTCTTTTGTTAGAGTGGGAGCTTATTCTCTCTTTGAGTCGTTCCGCATGCATAACTTAATCCTGTAACAAAGCTCTTAGTAATGTAGCTCAACTATCAGTAGTTCTTCTCGTAGTATGACCTATTAAAAAAAATTCTTTGGCAGAGAATTGCGGCCTTTGACAAGTGAATGCCGTGCTGCAAAGCTTTTCTCAAAGCATATGAAGATTGAGGAGCAGGTATCCATATACTACTTGTACTTATATAATAATTCCATAAACTACTTGCAAGATTCATCAAGTATAATTTTGGATCATTGACAAAAAAGCTCTCTGCTATTTGTGCACATCAAAAGCTAAAGAGAAATTTTGAAAAAGCTAGGGATGATTTTTGTTATTATTCATCACAGGCTTCTGCTCTCAAGAATCGTGTTAATATTGCAAGTGGGACACCAAGCAGGTATGTGTGGTATTTCCTTGCAAGTTGGATTCATTTCAACTAACTTCAAAATATATTGTTTATGAACTGTGACGTTGAATTATTTTTCTATTGATATTTGTTATGTCTGTTTTTGCCACTACAATACAATGAGACATTTAGATGAAACGAAAATTGCTATTTATAGAAAGCTCAGTTGATTTATAGCGACCTTTCTATAAACTTTTATGAATGTATTACCACAAAGGTGATGAAGCCTCATGATCAAGGAATGATGAAATCATGCACAATGGTGTTTCAAAATTGCTTTTATCCTCTTGCAAGCACGCATGATTTAGTCGGACGTATTTGTAGCCACAGCCCACAAGATGTGTGTTATATCTATGAAGATGTTCATATGGATTCACCATCATACAAGAATAGAGTAAAGATAAAAAAATATCACTTCCACGAGAGGGTGCAAGCAACACTCACAAAAGATAAAATAAGATGTCGCGTAAAATGACTTGGTGATGTCCTAGGTGTATCTCCAAATGCACCAATTTGCAATTTGATACTTTTGTGGTTGAAAGTGCTATCATATACCATTAAAATTTGGTTTGTTGATTCTTTCAAACTGGTGACAGGATTAAGAAGTTGATAGATGTGGAGGCACTTGGCCTATCTCGACTAGCTGTGATTGTGCTGGATATGAAAACTGACACAAAGGGCTATTCACTGTTGACACTGCCTCAAGTCAGGTTAGATTCTGTTTACGTTTGAATTGATTACACACTTGTCCCGATCTAAAGTTACTAGTAATACTTAAACCAAGTGTTGGATCAATCTGCCTATTTTTCCTCATATCCTTGACTTTCTCATTTCCCATAGTTTGCCTCAGAATGTATTATAAATGACAAATCAGCAATCTGTCTACCTTATTCTTTCTACCTACAATTTAGGAGATCTCATTGTAAACATTCCACTTTGCAGAGATGAGTTCTGGGATTTGTATAGGAACTACTTTCACCAACGAGTACTGGAAGGTGCATTGCGGATATGTCTTTATGACGAAATACCAGTTAACATTAAAAAAGAGAAGAGCAATCAAGATGAGTAGCCTCTTCAGGACCGATACGAGAATACTGTACTATCGTCATCCAATCCATTTTGACATTTTTGTATCGCAAATTCGTGGTAGAGGATATACAGAAGCAGAATTTCTGTAGGTTGTGTTGTTTAGCAAGGTAAATTTTTCAGGTAAAATATGATTCGAGTTCAAGTAGCCGTCTTTTGGATAGATCTTTAAAGGAATTGGTTTTTTAATTTTTAATTTTTGTGAGTTCTTTGTGTAGCGATAACTAGTTTACTAACTTAAGTGATCCAATTTTTATGATATGCGATGGTGAGTTTAATGTCTAAACTTTTGTTCTGTTGCAAAGGTACAGAGTGCTTATTGCTTCTTCTTTTTTTTACCCCTCCCTTGGGGGCTCTCTTTTCTGCCATGGTGATTCGGTCTAACAACCTTCAAACTGGAGATGGAGGGTGCTTACCATCTGAGTTTATGTGTTTTTGAGGTTTTGTACACCTTTTAAACAAGATGTTAAATAATTTAAATAATAAGAGTATTCATTTAAATGATTCTTTATCTATCTTAAAACGTCTCACGTAATTAACATTCTACGAATTAGAACAACAAGGGTTAGATCGAAAAGAATAGTATATACTTGTTATTTTTCTAAAACGTCAACTATTTTAAAACAAACTTAATTTGTCAAAACGCCTAATATACTTGAAATAAGAGAGTGATTAGTTTTACCTACAAATTTAGAAGTTCTATTTCACTAGTAGGAGAAAGTCTCATAAAACCCCTTTGACTCGGAAAGTAATAACGAAAATAGCTAATCTAATAGTAGATTTCGCAGTTGGCATTATTGGCGCCAAGCATAACGAGTTATGTATGAGCTTTCACCACTATAATTAGTATTTGGTACGATTACTAGGACTTGAGTCTCTCTTTTTTCACAATTGCCAAAATCACTTTTTCAAACTTGAAACTCATCTTTACCCTATCATATGTTTGAAAGAGGTGTTGCAAATGGAAACTTAAAGAACACAAATCATCATGTTTAGTAGGGAATTTAATTATTTATCCTAAAGTATCAATCAACTGCATTTAATATATATTCAAAAGGTCTTAGAATGTTCCAAACTCCTTAAGATGACATATTTATTCTACTAAGTAGTACAACAACAGCAATAACAATAATAAATCCAGTATAATTCCATAAGTGAGTTCTGAGAATGGCGATATGTGCACAACCTTTACCACTATCTTGAGAAGATAAAAATGTTGTTTCCGATAGACCTACAAAGTATTACAACAACAACAACAACATACCCAATGTAATCCTACATGTGAGGTTGAGGGGTATAGTGTATACATGCTTACCCTTAACCTCGTGGAGGTAGAACGACTATTTCAGAAAGATCCTCGACTCTTCCAAATTCCTTCTTAAGATGACATATTTCTTCTACAAAGTAATGTAGATATGAAATCATCCAATGATTTAGCAGAAGAACCTTTAAAATCCCCTTCTTTAACAGCATCTCTAATACACATCCCAATTTTATTAGCTTTTTCCTTCATTTCTTTCCCTTTTCCACTTTCTCCCAAAACAGTTTCCACCACTTTCTTCACATCCTCTTTATCAACATCACTTGAATACCA